TCGTTGTTGCTATAATTACTATTTTTCTCTGTTTTGCCGCAGTTTTAGTGGTTGCCACACATTTTGCTCGCTCGCCACAATTGTCGTCAATTAATTTTGTTTTGATTTTGCTGATTTGATATGCCGACGACGCCGCCTTGCAGGTGGCATTGGGATTTAACGGCCAGTGTTTTATGATTTTTTCCTCATTCGAAATTGCTTGCAAATCAAAAGCGTATCAATCATTAATTACGAATATAAATCGTTTTAGTGTCTTGGCTAACGAAACTCTGATAGGAGTAGAAAGAAAAAGTTTAACTAATTTTGCGCTTAAGAGGTTTTAAGGCTGATTTGGAAATGGCAATATGCGGTATTAATTAGAGAAGAAATATGTTAGTGGAAATTTATGTGTTCCTTACCATTTTAAAATATAAAATTTTAGAATTATATTTTGTTAATCACTTGCAGTTTTTTAGGAAAAATGCCCTTTTATTATTAAATAATTTACCTCGTATTTGTTTCTCTTTTGCATTTAATATTTTTTTAATTTAGTTAGTTTTTGTTTTTCTTTTTATAAGGATTCATTAAGTAAGACTTATGCCAGTCTTGTATCACTTAATTGTGGGATTTTCTTAATGCCTGGACGCAGTTGATTTTCTAAGACTGTGAAAAACTCTTTGTATTCCCATTCGAAATCACAATTCGTCTCGGCTAAGCAACTAACGGAGAGAAATGACTGACAAGTGTACGGCAGAAAATTTCCATAGATCCACTCTTAACAGAGGTGATCTGATGGTGTGAAATTCCTAACTCGCCACTCTTGTGGCCACTTCTTGCCGCATCAATCAACGGCGGCAGCTTAAATGCTGCATCATGACAAAACCATTACACTTGACCAGGCTCAAAGAGCGGAGAGTCGGCAGATGCTCAGATGACTAGGCTTCTTGGCCGTGATTGATTGATTGGCAGCGTGAGGTGAACTTGGCCAACCCGGCTGATGCTTTTGTCTAAAAGCCGTTTAGAATAACACCACAACGAGCCGGGACCCACAGCCACAGACTCGGGAATATCAGGTCCAGGCCAGCAGCGAGAAATTATGCATTGTATTGGTAGATAAACCCAAAATGAAGAAAACAGAAATAATGTTTAATCTGTGCAATGCACCCTCACCTGGCCTCATCTTGAACATTCCCGACCACACTGTGGGAAAGTTAGCTGAATTATAAAAGCCTTTAAAAAAAAGAGTTTAATTATACAATTCAAAGTTTTCTCAAATAGTATATATGTATATATTATAAATATTTTGAAATATTAACTTTTTTCAATAAGTTGTTTTTAAATGCAAGATTTATTTATAAGCTTCTTAAAATAATAGCTTATTAAACTATTAATTATTTTATCAAACATTTGATAATGCATGGTTAATTTAATTCAAATAATAAATCTATATTTTACAGAGTGTCTATCAAGTTCGTTGTCTAAGTCCTTTGTTTTCATTTTTAAGATGCACTCGATTCTTTTCAGATTGTGTCTCCTGCTTCGCAATAACCACCTGCTACGTTCCATAATTTTCTCTTTAACAAAAGTCTCAGGATTTTTATGGGTGATTAAAAAGAGTTCCCATCCATACACAGAATATTTGAAATAGCAGGCATATTTTCTAACAATCCCTGGCCCACTTTTCTCCTTGTGTAAGGAGTCTTTTAGCTGATTCTAGAGAATCACCAGCAGCAGCAGCAGAATACCAGCCGCTGGCCAACCGTCCAGTTGATTGCGCCTTCATTATTATGCCAAACTGTGCGCCGGCATTCGTTGAATTTGGCTTTTGCAATTTGCTCTCGATGCCGGCCGGCCGTTTGCCTCCTTTCGGGCTCGAAACTCAAACTCCTTCGTTTTGGGGGCATTAAAAATGAGCTCGACGTAACAGGTGGATGCCGATGCCGACGATGCTCGACGTGATTTTCGCCAAATCGTTTAGATTATTTCGAGATTGCTTGCGCCAGTCGCTCCGAACCGCCATGCGACTCGGCACTCCTTCACTTCACTTCACTTCAGTTCACTTTACTTCACTTCAGTCCGCACCTTGCATTTGAACTTGAAAACATTTCATTTTTTCTGTTTTTAGCTGCCTGTAGCTGGGGGCATCCACTATCCACAGCATCCAGTTCTTCGGCCCGATCGATTAGTGGCATTCTATTGCGTTCAATTTTCCATGTGCAACATTGAAGCGATCGTCGAGAGCGCTGCCATCGCCGCTGGCACAATAAACACGCGATTTATTTCATGCCAGGCATTCAAGTGCCGCCTCAGTCGGTCAAAGCCAAGGAGGAGCCCAATCCAATCCTCGTGGCCTGCTCTGGACTCACCTGGACCGACTCGCCTTGGCTCGGCCTGTGGTATGTGATAATGGGATGATGGTATGATGATGCATGCCCAGCATACACAACAACAGCAAGGGGCATGATCGAAGGAAGGGCGCGGGGAATAAGCTTAACCCTAAGTTCAGATACTGAAGAGGGAATGCTCTACGAGATTTTGGTTGAAATTCCAAAAAAAAAATGAATATTTTATATTTTGCTTGTATTTCTTTGAAAAAAAAATTATGTTTTCGTTAATCATAGTGCATCAACGTCAAAAAAAATATGTATCCATATAAAATAGCCATCCATTTATTTAATAAATATTTGATAAAATAGTAAAAAAAAGTGTGCTTTAAGCATCACCCCAATATTCAGATAAGCTTAATTAAATATCCATTATTTAAATTCAAATACTTGTTACTCTCTCTTAAAAAACTTAAAAATGTTTAAAATATTATTATTTATTTATTGTATTATTCAATAAATAAAAATACCTTGTAAAATTTTTCGAATGAACATATACAATTTAACTTTATTAAATTATTTCGATATTTAGTTTGTTAAAACCTCATGTACATATTTCTGAATCCGATCTGTGTTAACAACCTTTGCCTAATAGCCAAGATATTCGGCCAATTTTCAGGGTAATCACAACAGTAATAATAGCTGCCCACTATTCGATTTTTTTGCGGGCTTTAACTAGCGACCAAGGTTAGTCGCAGGCTTGCTGGCAAGTTGCTGCAACTATCGGTCGTAGGGGGCTTACTCTGGCGCATTTTAGCCGGTAATTGCTTGTGATGTATGATTTTGAGTTCTAGTTTTCCTGGCCTGGGAATATTTCTGAGCCGGCCCCGGCTTTTGTTGTCCGCCTGATTGCTGGCGATGCCTATATATGCGGGTGATGTATGTTATATAGCCGCAGCCACAGGTATAAGCTATAGCCATAGATATTGATTTGACAGGCTCTGAGCGACGACTCTTCTGGCAGTAAGTTCGACTGCTGGCCAGCTGATGATGACAAAGATGATGATTATGGTGATGATGATGGGAGAGCACCGAGTGTCACACTTTCTAAGCCGCGGAGAGGGCACTTTCACCCAATTAGAGTGCGATATGAGCACGGCCTGGAAATATGCAAAATATACCAATGGCCGCCGCCGCCGCCGTCGCGTCCCTTTCCTTTCCCGCCGATGACAATCTTTTGTTTTCACTTCTGCAGAAACAAAAGCCATAAAGGATAAATTGTGAGCTGGTAGCCGCGCATTGAACTCTTGGCTTCGACAAGTGCACAGCGGGGGATCCAGAAAGATCACCGATATCCTACGCCCAACAAAAAAAACATAAAGACAAAAAAGAGGAAAAACAAGAGAGAACGCTATAGTCGGGTGCCCCGACTATCAGATACCCGTTACTCAGGTAAAGGGAGTGCGAGGGAGATGGAGATAGAAACTTTGATCACGCATAACTTTTTAACGAATGGTCCGATTTGAAAAATTTCTTCAACATTTCGATAGGTATTGATAAACACAATAAAACTGCATTTTTACTTTTCCGAAATATTTAAATTTTTAAAATCGTATATAAGCGATTGTGGGCGTTAAAGGGGGCGTGGCACCTTTTTGAAATAAACTTGCGCTGCGTAGGAACTCCTAGAATCTGCATGCAAAATTCCAATCTTCTAGCTTTTATAGTTTCCGAGATCTCAGCGTTCATACGGACGGACAGACAGACGGACAGACGGACGGACAGACAGACGGACAGACAGACGGACAGACAGACGGACAGACGGACATGGCTATATCGACTCGGCTAGTGACCCTGATCAAGAATATATATACTTTATAGGGTCGGAAACGCTTCCTTCTAGCTGTTACATACTTTTGCACGAATACAATATACCCTTTTACTCTACGAGTAACGGGTATAAATATAAGATCACCCAGCCAAAAGGCTGCAATTTTGTTTTCATTTTGGAGCTAAATGGAGTTGACCAAGGCGATCGTATCGCGTCATTGTTTGCCTTAACAATTGGGCCAAGTTTTCGAGCTTCTATCGTACACATGATTGATCGAGGAAGCCGGGGGAGCTGCGGGAGAACCCAAATAACCACAAATATTCTTTATATGCAGACAATTTCTCCCCCACCTCGCGCTGTTTTCGTTGTGCTTTTCATGCCATTTCGATACGGGCCTCATTTTTCTTGCCACAATTAAGAAGAAAGTTGGCAGCAATTAGAAAACGCACATCGATCAAAATCGCCTCCCGACAACGAACGTCATGTTCGAGTGCCGTGTTTTGTTTGTTTGTCCAAGACGGCATTTCAACCTGCAGACAAGTGAGTGTGGAGCTGGGCAGCCCGGATAATGGTTGAGATATTAAGACATATTTCACCTTTTGTGATATTAGAATGTAATAGTTCCAAAATATCTGTTCAAAAATGTCGACATTGAAGGGCCCAAAATGTTGGAAATGTAAATACAAAAAAAACTGTTAAAATGTTATTCCTTTATTTGGTAATATTATTTTATTATTAAATGAACTTGCTCTTAAATTGAAGTTCAAAAACATACTCTAAAAAATCTTCATTAAAAAACACTTTATTTTAACGATTAAAAGAACTTAGCTTTATTTTTACCCATGATATTTCTTTCAAAAGGAACACCAGTTAAATCATTATTCCAAATTCCAGCAATATATATCGATTGCCGCCGACAACAAATCTCCATTGTCATGTCGCGTATGATCAGCCGGGAAGAGATCCCCCGGGACAGGAGTCTGGCCCAGGAGTTACAAACTGAAATTACCCGCAACTCGGCGGAAATCAGCTTCAACTTCTGGCAGGAGTTCGAGCACATCCGCTCCACCCAGCGGAATCGCATGGTGGAGGAGCGTTTGCAGCGCGAAAGGATCAGCACGATGATGCGGGATGGGCAACAGGAGGCCAATCAGGAGGCGGAGGCCCTAAGCCGATCCATCAGTGCTCATGGAATGACTGTGAACTCAACCAATTTGCCATCACCCTCAGTAGCAGCACCTGGGGATTCCTTGCTGAAGAACTCTTTGGTTCAAGGGGTCCTGAACTTGTCCACTCGCCTAAATCCAGGTGTTAAAAGAAAGCCCCAAAAGCAGAAATTCCAATCTTTTAAGACCAACAAGTCGAAACCAAGGGCCAAGTCCGATTATAAGGCAACCTTGCCATCGCCAGTCCCCTCCAATATTCCAAGGGCACCACCCACCTCCAGGGCCACTATGATAACCCCAAATATCTCCAATGGGGTCACCCCCAACATATCAAAGCTTCGATTGGCCAACAAACCCAAGAAGTAACGATTTTATTTTTATTTTACCTAAATTATATTTTAGAGATATTGAATGTGGTTTTAAAAGTTTTAGTGCAAATGAAAAGGTGTATGTAAAGTCAATGGCAAAATGAAAATTAATTTAAAATATGTAAGCCTAAAAGCATTATAAATAAAATTTGGGCAGACAAAATTAAAGTCACAAATTATTAACTTTTTATTTAATCTGAGATAATTTAATAATTCCACAACCAACAGTTGTAAAGAAAAATTAAATTAAATTAAATTATTTTAGCTGAAGGTGGTAGCTTTTAAACATTGTTAGTACTCAAAATGAAATCAAAAACTCTGTTGAATAACATTAGGTAAACCATAAAAAAGATTTAAAATGTAATAAAATAAAACGTATAAGAGTTTACATATATTTATTTTACTGCAATCTCATTAGGTTTCCTTGATATCTTCTTCGTGCAATCTGTGTCCCGCATAAACCCATTTCCACGTATCCAATCGCCTGACGAATGCCACCCGGTGTGCACTTTGCACTACAAATTCCGGCTAAAACACACACATAACGAAACCGAAAACAGAGGCAACAACAAAATACGGCGACGAGGCAGAGACTTGCAAATTAATTAACGGTACACGGGCCTCCAAAAGGAGGAGATTCGAAAATCAGAAAACAAGCCGACACGCACCCCAGACACCTGAGTAATCAGCATTATGTGGGCATGGCCATCGATGGAGGTGCTGGTACTCGAACTTCTCGATAAATCACGGATAAAAAACAATCAACGCAAATGTAACGTTATTCATCACAGGTGGTAAATATTTCAAACTCAAACTGACAACAAACGCGCGTCGAGCTTAAAAATAAAACTCATACACCGGCGTTGTTCGCGTTTCTGGTTTCGGTTTCTGTTCTCAGATTTCCGATACTCAGATTCGTATGAATTCTGGGTCAGAATAATTAATAAATGCCGCTCTTTTTTGGCGCATGACTGGGCCATAACAAAGATGTGGCAACACAGAAATAATACGGATCAATTTTTGAATATGTGTTACTCATCAAGGGTATCTTTAAAAATTGATTTAAAATTAATATTAAATTAAAATTAAAATATATGTATATTACTGAAGTCATTTTCAAATAAAAGAGTAAGCTTAAATTTACTTTTTAGCTAACCAAGTCTTCAGAGTTAATAAATTAAAGATCTTTTAAATAAAAAATAATTTGATTCCCTTGAGATCAAGTTTCATCAAATCGATCATTACAAAAATATTTTAAAAATTTCCCGAACAAAGATTCGGCAGATTTGTCGTCGCTTTGGCGCATGCGCACCAATAATCAATCAAAACGTCTTAAACAAATCACTCGGGCCGCATGTGCAACTACCAAAAAATCAACAGAGCAGAGACAAAAAATTACAGAGCCGACTACTGACTGACTGACTGACTGACAAACTGACTGACTGGCAAGTTTGGCAACTCCGAGGCTCTGAGGCTCCGGAGAACTGTGATGGACAACAGTCACGATTTGCATGTGCGACAACTGTTGCCAGACCGGCAACAACGACGCCAAAAACAACCATCAACCAGGCACATTGAACTGTCATTGACACGGGGGAGAATCGAGGAGAACGCCAACCCGGAGACCGGAGATCGACGACTGGCGACTGGAGACACCTGTAGCAGCAGCCACAGAAGTTGAAAGGCAAAAGGCGAACTCCCTCGCACAGTGGCTCAAAATTAATCGTGTCAGAAATAACCATAAAGCAGGGAAATATTTTTTATGATCCATAAATAACTTTAGAGCTCATTAATAAAAAATCCAATCAATTCTTATTTTATGAGAAAAAAATGATTAGTTTTTAGTTACAGAACATTTTTTATTATATTTGAGTTAAAAATAAAACTACAAAAAAACATAGTTTAGTTAAACAAAGCGAAATACATTGCAATTCTTACATTTGTTCTTTTATTGGGCTAATAAAAAGGTTTGTTTCAAAATAATAATGCAAATAAAAATTGCTCTAAAATTTAAGCGGGTTAATGAATAGCACGAACATTCATTCATTAAGATAAATATTAGAACAATTTTACAGTTCCATAAACTTTTTTGAACATTATAACATTATTAGCCAAATGTGAACACTAGATTTCTGCATAAAAAATAGCTGCAAGGCATTTACTGCCACCTTAAGTCACTGTACACAGGTCCGCTTTTGCTATTGCATTTGTTCCGATCGTTTGTGGGTGCGGCGGTTTCAGTAGCCACCACCAACAGCTGGACCCCCGACCCTCAGTACACCACCCACCGACCCGCACCACCACCCCCTTTTGAGCCACTGAAATGGCAAACTCAGAGGCCAATTACCGCAAACAAATTCGAATGCGAATGCGCATTGAAATTGTGGCAAGGTTGGTAATTTAAGACTCACGCCGTCTCAAAAAAAAAGAAGTCAGAGAAACAGAAAGAGAGGGATTCCCGCGAGAGCGAGAACAGTTTCTTTGTCGCACCACTTGGCTGTACAAAAAAAATCAGCATCAGTTTAAAAATGTTAGCTTAATTTTAACTTCTAGCTGGTAACATAAACTTAACTATATTTTTTTCATTTTATGATTTATATTAAGAACAAATATGTTGATATGTTGGAAAATGTCCTAAAACAAGTCCGCCTTTTTTAATCATGGTCACACGACACAAAAGGTTTTAAAAGGGTCACACCTTTTTCATAAATCTATCTTGTCAATATTATAAAAAGGATGAGCACTTTAATGATTTTTTTCTCGGTGTGGAAGTCCGCTTTGACCAGGTGATTGAATTGCTGATTTAACGGTTTCTGTTGTCAAATTAATGACATTCATTCATTCCATGTGGTCGAGTCAGAGTCTGAGTTTCAAGCCCGAGTTTGAGTTGAGCAAACGTGGCCAAAAACGGTAGTTTTTTTGCTGCAGCTCTGGCAAATTGCAGCGCGTGTTATTATTGTTGTTATTACTGTTGCAGCCGTTGTCATTGCTGTTATTAATGTAGTTATTAAATATTTACAACTGCCGCCGCACAAAGCGTGCCTTTAAAAAAAGGTTTATTGGATACGGGAGTGGGCCGGGTTCACAGTTGGGTGTCAAAGTGCAAAAGTTTAGCGCAAAGTTCTTGTCATTATTTGTTCGCCGCTTGTTGATCGGATTCTGTTTCCTTGTAAAGTGAAAGGGAAACGCTGGCAAATCTATTCTCGGCCGCCTTGAGTTTAAGGCTTAATTAATGGCTCTTTTATATAATTTAATTAGTTGTTAATGATTTGCTGATTGGACTGGCGCGGGTGGTGGCCCCCCATGAATCAAATGCTAAACTAGACTGACTTCGCAGGGGCTTGGCAGATGTCAGGGTTGCCCAAACTAGTGGCTAATGGTCTAATGGCCCAGTCATGACTGTCAGTTGTGATAGCGGCTAATGGTTGGGATTGCCAAAATTCGCAACATGCCAAAAACTAAAGAATTTTCAAACGCTTCAAAAGATACGAGATGGTTTTAAGAGGTAAATAAATCTTTGAGATAATTATGTATACCGTATTTTTACAAAAATGTTTAAAGGTATTTAGAATAATATAACAAGTAAATTTGCCTTTAAAACAAAAATCTTAGGTTAGTCTTAAACTTTTTAAAAAAATAGAAAGTTGTTACTTGAAATTTCAATTTAAAAATTGTATAGATAATTTGCCGTGTATCAACATTAAATTAAAATTTTAAACTCGTTATAATTTGACTAAGATAAATCCCATTAATTTCCTTTAGTTAAATGTATTTAAATAGATAATCAAATTTGATCGATTTAATTTGCATACTACTTTTCTCATTGCCATTGACCGAAGCCGCAACTCCCACTTCCCATCTCCATGCCCCACGAATATAGCTTGCCCCAAAAAAAGTAAGTTGAGGCCAAATCGAACATGGCAGGCTAGACAAAATGCTTGTTGTCGATTTTCGCGTTCGATTTTGAACAAATCCCCCAAACTAAGTAAACAGCAACTGCCTGCGTGAATTGCGCATTCAACATGCGTACACCATGCGATAAATAATATTTGAAAATGTTTTTAAATTTGTCACAATTTCAGCGATTGCATGGCCAGAAACAAATAATAACAAAAAAACGAAAAAAAGAAATAGTTAGTCATTTGAAGGCTTTTATAACATTTATCGGAAAAGCGATTTCCTTGCCAATTAGTCAAGGCTTATGGGGGCGTTAAGCGAGTGCTTAACTCAGGCATGAAAATTGCCGCCAGATGGGCATAAAGATATGGCGACACATGGGCCCGGCGATAAGGCACAAAAAATACCAACGGCTTAAGCGGCAGCGACCTGTCAATATTACATTTGATTGATTTCGATACGATTCCACGACCGTTTTCGAAAGCCAGATGCAAAACTGTGTATCAAAAACGCAATCGTAATTCAAGTGCTCCACATTAGGCTTCGAAATCCGTGTCTGGCTATCGTTTTCCGCGCATTTTATTGCCACACCAAGGCAATAATCTAAATGCTCATATCAAAAACGCATGTCGGGAGCAAAACCAAACCCAAATCGTGGCCAAATCCCAGGCCAAATGCCCAAGACGATGGCAGTGGCACACGCAACTGGCAAAAAGGAAACTCTCCTGTTGCTCTTGCTCTTGATTTTTTATATTTTTGTATGATTATACTCTTGTAGAGGGTATTTGCATTTTTTGAATTCCTTTTTATTTAGAAATAAAAAGTTTAAAATCCTTCTTTTCAGTTGTCTGAGATTGAATAACATTCAATAATTATATTGTGGAGACTTTTTAAATTCTGAATGTGTTTTTTATGATGATAAAAACACAACCTGAAAGTTATACCCTATTTCCTTAAGTGATCCTCTTATGGGCACCATATCACTATCGGCAAAAATTCCTTCTAAGAGTATACAAAACTTCGATCCTAAAAAAGTGTTAATTACTTTTTTCTTTTTTATATTCCCTTGATTTTTGTCGGTTGACTTTGCCGTGGTAAGTGCAGTAACTCAATATTAACCACTTACACGTTAATTTAGGCACAAATTGAATTAATAAACCATGTTGGACATTGTGTGCGGTCCCAAAGAAACCGAAGCGAGCCAGCTCCTTTTCATATTTCATTAATTTATGCACGAAACACGGCTCAATGAACCACGAAAACAAGCGGCTGGCCAACA